CCCCCATGCAGGCGGCGAACTTGTACGCCATGAGCGTGTTCGGCGAGGACGCCCTGGTGAACGTAAGCGTCGAGAAGAAGAGCGACGCCGACGGAAAGCTGAGCGGGCACGTCCGCATCCGCAGCAAGACCCAGGGCATCGCCCTCTCCCTGGGGGACCGCATCACCCTCGTGCAGCGTGGACCCGGGGCCACAAAAGCGCAGCCATAACTCTTGGTCCGTAGGCGTTGCAACGACAAATCAGCTGCAGCGCGGGCGCCTAGCTTTGGGTTGCGTTTTTTTCATTATTTTGCAAGTTTTTGTAGGCAAAGAGCTATTGGCCGTGTACCGACGGGACTGATGTTGTGTGTGTGTGTTTTTTTTTTTTTTTTGCGCTATGTTCGCGGTTTAGCTCAAAGAAACGGGTTCGGACTTTCCGTGCTGGGGGAGGAGCGAGATCGTTTTTTCCTTTTTTTGATTGCTCTCCATCGTTCGGCCGTTGCTGCCCCCCAGGGGGTGCCGGGTCGATTTCGAGCCTGAAGCGTGGCTTTTTTGCGACATCGCCCGGGTGTTGAGCCTGAAGTCGCCGGCACAAATCACCGAGGGGCTCATGCTGCCCTTGTTAACGTGGCGTGGACACGCCTGGCAGGGCCCGCTGCCGGCTTCGTGTTTGTGGTCGATGAAGTCGAAGGGAGTGGCGTGGCGTGTTGCTGACGCACGGCTCGACCCGTCCACAGGGATAACAAGGGCGCGGGCGGTGTAGACGGGATGTTCCGCGTGTGACAATTATTGAGAAAAACCGAAGGAGGCTTTGTTGCACCCTTTTTTTTTGGCGGCACTGCTAAGTCGTGTGGCCGATAACGTTCTATATTTTTCCTATGCATGCCACACGAGTAGGCACGTGAGCACGACAACGTTGCGGCATGTCGATCGTGCTCTTCGCGGACGGTTTGTGGTTTTTAACCTCTCTGTGCTCAAATTTCGTGTGCGCCTCCGTGTTAGTTATGATTCCTCCCTCCTGGTGCTCTCTTGCCGGATGACATTGTCGCGTAGTACTTAAGAGAGGTCAACAGTGTCTAAAAAGGTATAATTTCGACTCTACGGTTGACTAGGGCACGGGATTGCTCCCTTTCTCGCGACAGACTGATGATGTCCAAGCGCCTCAGAAGGCAAGAGCGGGTTAACACCCGCATTCAAAGAGCCCGAATCCTTTGACCTTCCTCTGCGATCCCCAGTTGATGGATCCATGAATGATCCTCGTGTATTCCCGATCCACCGTTATTCAGGTGTCAAACGTTACGGCAGTACGGAGACATCCGGCGCTACATTCTCGATCAGATTGGCTCCCTTCGTTGCTCTCGTTTGTTGCCTCACGGGACACCGAAACAGCCTAGTTTTCCTCAAAAGCAAGTATATCTGGCGCCCTCTGCTGCCTGCTCCATTTCCAACGCAATAGCCTCCTAAAATCTCCGTTTTTTCTAGGAACAGGAGTAAATGCCCATCTCCAGCAGTTATACCCAGCCGCCCTAGTGCAAAATAAACCGTGAGTACCTGACGAAACTAGCACACCCACTCCATGTATGTGCGCGATCACAACTGTCCGGCTTCGAAAAGGAAATGCACCACACAATAGTTTCACGTTGCACAAAATGTGGGTCCGCATGCTTTTGTAGGTAGGAAACACCTTTGTGTAGACCATTATCCACTTTTCAGTTCAAGTTTAATTTACTCCATTAGACTACCAGACAATTTTTTTCTTTTGTTTGTGCTTGTGACTTTCAGCAAGGAGGAGACCTCTGTCCACACTTGTACGGAGCTCGAATTGAGATGTCCGCTTTCGTGTACCGTTTCAAAGCCGGTTGGCGTCGCCACCAGGAGTAGGCACCAGGAATCTGTCGACTCTTATTCGATCCGATCTATGTAGTGTAAGAGTTCAACCCACAATAACCCCCTTATATGAACGAGCTTACAAAGTAGCTCCCCGTCTGGTCTACCCGGGAGCTACCTCGCTCGTTCCCCTCGCCCCCCCAAACCGGGCGCCGCCGTCTTCCCCGCCTCCTCGTCCCCACCACTGAGCAACGCCACCACACCCTGGGCACCACGGGATCGGCGGTGGTTCTGACTGCCACATCCTCACGGCAGATCAGATGTAATCCTTCGCACTGCCACTGCCGCTACCGCTTCTTCCTTCGGCCGCGGAAGGAACTCGGGGTAGAGCCGCCGCCGCCGCCCGCCGCCATCCCTGCCATTGCATGGTCCAACCGTCAGCGCGGGGGGGCACCGCTGAATGTTGGCCACCGAGTCTGGCGCGTGCCTCTATGGACCACGGTCGTCGTCGTGGTCGTCACCGTCCCCACCGCTGCCGTTGCCGCCGCCGCCATCGCCAGACCCTTCCTCCTTGGCCACCGAGTCCCCTCCCTCCGCCGATGCCCCTTGCTCGCTGAACACGATGGACACGCCCGCTGCTCCGAAGAAGGCGCCACGCGCTATGTCCGAAGGCGACAGCGTGCGGAGCAGGCCGTTCAAGGCGACGGCGCGTACGAATCTGTCGTATTCGTCGTAAACGCATCCAAGCTCTTGCCCGGTGAGGGTGTGGTCAAGGCCGGACTGTTCGGCGAAAACCTCCATGTAGTCCATCGGACCGGGGCAGGTGAGCTCCTCCGGCAGGGTGAGCATCAGATAAAAGAAGAGTGCCAGCAAGATCGTCTTGGGGTCGCCTGCGCCTGGCTGGCCAAACACTGGGCCGCCGTTCTTGCCCCTGCCCTCCGAAGCGGCTTTCGTGATCGCCAGCATCTGGTCCATGATCCCGTAGAGGTCAACGGAGCTCTCGTCAAGCTTGTCCAGCCGACTGATTGCGTGTGATACACATGCCGCGGGCAGAAGGCACAGGTCTTCGTCGCTACGCCTGCTCAGGAATCCCGGTATCGCGGCGGTCACCCCGAGAGTGATGGCCGCAAGCGCGACGATGGGCGTCGGCACATTGATCGTGTCGGTGATCTCTCTGATGACTGACAGGGCCCACCTGACCTTGCCCTCGGGGATGCTCTCGTAGCCCTCCCTGCATCTGGGGTACGCCTTCTCTTCGAGGCAGAGGTGGGCGTCCACCAGCTTGTCGGAGCGGCCGTTGTTGTAATCGCCGCCAACAGCAAGGCCACCACGTGCGCACACTTCGTCGTAGTACGCATCCTCAGGGTGGCTCGCCAAAGCCGGAGGAGGTTCATCACCGTCGTCGTCGTTGGAGCCACAGTCAGAGTCGCGGTCGGAGTCGCGGTCGCAGTCGGAGCAGGACACAGAGGTGGAGTCGTAATCGGAGTCGAAGATGCTGACGACACCAATAGCAAGTCGACCACGTGCGCGCACTTCGTTACAGTACTCATCCTCCGAGTCGCTCACCAAAGGCGGTGGAGGTTCGTCGTCGTCGTCGTCGTTGGAGCCGGAGTCGCTGTCGCGGTCAGAGCCGCAGTCGGAGTCGGAGTCGGAGTCGCGGTCGGAGTCGGAGTTGCTGCCGGAGTCGGACCCGGAGACAGAGTCGGAGTCGCTGCCGGAGTCGGACCCGGAGACAGAGTCGGAGTCGGAGCCGGAGTCGCTGTGACCACCATCACCGCCGTCGCTCTCCTCCTCCTCACTGTCATCGTCGTCGGTGCTGCTGTCGCTCTTGGCATCGCTCTTGTCGTCGTCGGTGCCGTCGTCCGTGTCATGGCTGTCACTGTTCGCGCGAGGATGTTGAAGGGATTCCCGCAGCAGGGCGACATTGTTCGGCGTGAGGGTCGGCTGGGCCCACGCAGCGCGGTGATCCCTCTTCGTGTCCGCTGAGGCCCTATCCTTCTCAGGCTCCCCCAAGATTGCCTGTGGCAATGCCTCCTGCTGAGCTGGCGGTGCCAGCGTGCCGCTGTGCTCGTCCTGCCCTTGGGATGGCTGGGACTCCCAGCGCGGTTCGAATGAGGCGAACTCGTTGAGTGCCCGGACGCTCAGACGCTCAGACGGGATGTCGTGCAGCAGGCCGGCGAAAATACGGACGGTCTGTAATTTAGAGGAGATATCACGTGGGGGCGATTCGGCGACCGATTAGGAATCATCGAACGAAAATAGCACTTGGAGGCACAGCCCCGTATCAATGTCGTTGTGTTCAGGGTCAAGGGCTGTTAGAACGTAGAACGCTATCGCTGAGGCGGTAGAGCTGCGTGGTGTTGGCGATGGTTTTTCACGATGACCACAAAACGAAAACGAATTCGAACCGGAACAAGGTTAGCTCTCGTAATCATAGTTCTAAAAGAGGCTTCGGTAGGAGTTCGATTCTACCCCGAACGAGATCAACTTTCAAGCACTATCTAAACACCCTGCCTGTTCGCTGTGGGAGGAATGGATCTACAAATAATGGCGAAAGGAAACCGCCCTGTGCTTCAACCAGGGAGCCGAAACCAAGTCTCTCCTACCCCGATCAACAAGGCGAACTTGGTGTAGATAGACATGGATGGGTGGGCAGCAGAAACGCGTCGAGACTCACGTGCTCCCTGAACAGGAGGGGTGAAGGCGGCCTGAACACCTCTGGGCTTAAGACGGTTTCCTTCGTGGGCCTTCGCGTCTCAACTTCCGTCGCCACGGATATCGTCTTCAATGACGATCCAAAGCAGGAGCACCAAAGCGGACCAGAAGGAGCAGGACAGAGGGGGGGAGAGGTAAAACGATGAAATGTTGAGATTGGGTTGTTGTGTCTTGCCGCTGCTATTATAAATTGCTGTTGCTGGCCCTGCTCACGTTGGTTATCTGGCCGTTCATGGGTCAAACCATCACATGCTCACAGACCAATATATCGGTAACAAACATGGTGCGACCGTTTTCACAATCAATCGAACCTCCGAACAACAAATCTTGAACCTCCAAAAAGCACCCTCACCTCTGCCGATAGCGGAGGCATGGGGTCGCGTGCAAGCACCTGGCAGCGTATCTGTCCGAGGGCGTAGGCGTCAACACTCTTCCGGAGAAGGACGGGAGTGTTGCACTCTTCAGTGGCGTAGGCCATTGCCTCGGGGGCAAGGTACTCGAAGAAAAGTCCCACGGAAATGTGGTCCTTTCCTAGTACTGCGCAGAGCATCAACCACAAACGCATCGAAAACCACCATTGATTGAACCGGTTCTACTTCGGTAGATATAGTTTGCTCGAAGAATATGGTGCAAATAGAAAGCACAACATGAGACGGGATGAGACGAGATGAGATAGGATGGGATAGGATGGGATGGGATGGGATGGGATGGGATGGGATGGAATGGGATGGGATGGAACGGAAAGACAACGTGTGGGAGTATGCATCGGGGCAGCGCCGTCATGTGTGGAGTTCTGCACCCACTAGTCTACGCAGTTTGTTTAAGCAAATAAACATTGGGGTTCGGGTTATGGTTGGGGTCTGCCTACCCCCTGCCTGGATTTTTTCGTGATAAACTTGTTCTCTTTGCGTAGGTAGTCCATGGCTTGATCGATTTGTTTGAAACTCTCACACCAAACCGACAAACCTCCGGCACTGTCGAAGTCACGGATCACCCATCTCGCGTTTTTGCCGGAGACGACCCGCACGCTTTTCGGGTTGATGTTGCCGTGAGCGAAGCCTTGGTTGTGGATGCTCGACACCCCGTTGACGAGACCTCCAAATAGGCTGTGTGAGACGAACCAGCAAAAATACACGCCAAAACACGCGCAGTTAAGGAAAACTACCGAAGCTTGTATGTTTTTGTTTTTTTTTTGTTTTTCTCCCATCATCATTGGACTCTGTCGTCTGCCCCTCTGGCCCCTATCCTCCACTTCTACTAGCTAGACGACCCAACCGGGGTCACATAGGAGGGGGGTGTTGGACCCCCTCCTGCGGTTCATGCCTGAGGTATTTTTATCGCGAGAAGGGTACAGCAATCCCTTCCCTCGCGACTTAGGAAGTCGATTATGGTTTACTAACAAACGAGCTTTGCAGCGCGTCGCTTTCATCCTAGACCAGGATTTATTTAGTGAGAAAAAAACTCTCGTTGCCGGGACTCGAACCCATGACCTGGTCCATAGCAGACTGCGAAGCTACCCACTAGACCACCGGGGCGACCGGATATATGTGGGTAGGAATTACTTCAGTACCCAGTAGGACCGACGAAATTCAACCATGACCAGCAGCACGTTCGAATAATGCAGTCGAGAAACAAACAATCAAGGGAAAAATGCGCTCCTTGCTGTAATTTTCGTGTGGTGCTCACCTCATCATGCCTAGGTTGGACATGCCTCCGTGAAGCTGCGGATCGGCCAGCATCTCGTGCAGGTCGAGGTCGGCGTTCGCGAAGGCCAGGGTCAGGAAGTCGCTGCCGTCGTGGGAACCGGCCAGCTCGATGGCGTAGTGGGGGGAACCAAGGCTGCACGTACATGCAACACGTACGGAGGGACAGAGAGCAGCAGGAGGCCGGATCAATGGGCCGGGAGAGAGAGTGTAGTCGCCATGACAGCGGACATATCTTCTATATTTTACTGCGTTTGCTGCCACTGATGCAACCGCTACTGTACTGCTTGCGGTAGGTCTGAAACCAACTTCTCTTCTCGCAGAAAAGCGAATATCGCTAACTTGACAGTTGTTGTTGCGGGCCATGACTTCTTGGTAGAGGAAGTGTGCAACTTTTCCATGAGTGCCGCAAACCCTAAGAAGTACTACTCTTTGTGAGAAAAATGGGAGAGCAAGCAACACTTGTGTACGTAGGGCAGTGCCAAATATATGTACGCAAACAAAATGGTATGCCGAACGAAACTGCCTAAAAGACGACAGACAACTCTCACATCTTGAGGGACTTGAGTTCTCGCGCCATCCGGTTGTCTTTGGTGATCCCTGCTCCCTGGGCGGCCATCGCGCGGGCTGCCTCCGGCATGGTTGCGGTAGCACCTCCGATGCCTGAGATAAGCACTTGGGGAAGGAAAGAAAAAGTCGGGCGATTGCTTCTTGTTGACGTGTGTTGCAGGGTGTAATGTTAGGTAAAACTGTTTAGAAAAATACGACCTGAACAACTGCCAGAGACGGCAAATAGATGGGGTTGAGAAGAAAAGAGCAATAGAACAAAACCAATAAATCTTACCGTTGGGCATGTGCCCGTCGAGGGTGATCATCTGTCGTCCCGCACCACTTCCTGCCGAAGTCTCTTGGCTGGATCCCGCATCACCCCGTGGGGACCTTTCCATCATCGTCTCGGTTGGTGTCGCCTCAGAGTCGTCGTCCATCACATCGTCGGCGCACGCCGACGGGGGGCTTCGGGCGGAGATCACATTTTCCGCGCCCCGCACGTTTCGTTCCCAGAAGCCGTTCGACCTATCACAAGGCGGCGGCCACCAACGGTCGGTGTGGTGGAGGGAATGGGCGAGGGGGGGGCGGGAATCAATCGTTGTTGCTCTTGCGCGGGCAGAATTGCAGATAGTACTACAGTGAGACGATATTGTTAGAGGGAGGTAGGTGCGATCGACATCATTTGAAAGATAGCATAGACCAAAATCAACGGCAATGATGAGTACGATGTTGAGGGAGGTGTGGAACGATTTGGACGTGTCTGGAGTCTGTACTGCTTCTCACCGCTTCCTAGCCAAAGGATCGTCGTCGCCAACGTCGTTGTCCGATCCGCCCGAGGAAATCTGCCCTGCCGCTACCGTATCGGCGGACTTTGCTTCGCCACATATGTTGAGGACGCTGTTGATGGTGGAATTCATCATCTCGAAGGCGATTGCCGCGGCCGATGATCCCTGCGACCAAAAATGATTTGCAGTCATGTGAGGCGAAATCGAAAAAGAGATCGAAAGTCGTTGTTAGTGATGATCTTCGTTCTTGGCTGAGACTAGCGTTTCTCGCGTATTTCCCTCTTTTTTTATTCTAGAACGAAATCACGTGAGGAACCGCTTGCCCTCAGTCTGTGTCGGCTCGATAGACAGGCTAGATGGTGTTGGTCACGGGAAAGCAAGGAAAAGTTTCAACTTGCTCAGCCTAGTCTAAACTACCAAACGCAACCTATGTCCACAGTACATACATACATGCATATGCGCGCCTGGACGTACGTGGGTCTCTCCACAGAATTCCCCCCCAGATACACAATGTTGTCTCCGATCGCTAAACGCAATGGTTAACATAATGGAGACGAGTGCGCTAACCACGGGGGGTGAGATTCGCCCACGAGGATCACAACATGTTAGACAGAGTGGCAACGTGTACCATCTCTGTTCTCGGCCGCACTCTGCAAAGGAACGATGCCCTTACCTTCTTGGCCTCCTCGCTGGAGATACGCTTCGCGTGGAAGTTGAGCAGGCGGGCGTGGTCCTGTCGACCTTTCACTGCCATGCCAGACCCAAGAAGAAGCTGCTGCAGCTGTCCAACGTGCCGTTTGCCTTTGGCAGCCCACCTCTGAAGTCCTTTCGCCTTGGCTTCGTCGCTAGGGCCGCTTCTGGTCGACACGCAAATCCCGCCCTTGCCGGCCTTCCCCGCACCCCTGGTGTTGTTCTTCTTCAACTCCTTGTGCGCGGTCTGAAGGAGGACAATGGCTTCCTTCCGTTCTTCGGCCGTGGTGTCGCGAAGCCGGGCAGCAGCACTGCGAGCAACCTGGGGCTGACTCCCGCAGTTGCCGCAGCCGGTTCCGCTGCCGCCGCTGCCGTCGCCGGCGTCGGTGGCGGGCGAGTCGGCCTTGATAACCGCCACGAAGAGCATCAACAAGTGCCCCACCTGTTGCACAACGCCGGCCGGGGTACCCATGAGCATCTGCAGCAGCTCTCGGAGCTGCTTTTGCGATGGGTGGTGGACGACCTGATCCGAGACGCCGACACTGACGGCGGTGTCATTCATCTTCCTTGCTCCGGTTGCAGCTCGTGACATGTTTGTCTTCTGTCGGAAAGCGGAAGCGATAGTGTTGGGAGTGCGAGCGAAAACAAGATTAGCCCCAACCGAATGGCCTCCAAGCAAAATTACAGATAGGTGTTGAGTTGTAGTGCAGCAGCACCGTGTGAGACGGTATTCTGTTGAAAGTTTGGTGTCAACGATCTTGATTGCAACGAATGCCAAGGAGTGCTGTGGGCGCAGCAAGGCCAAAGTATTGCAAGCGTTGCGCTGTATGTAAACTTGTATGCGTAGACGATGCCCACAAAAGTAACCAACTACCTTGTTTTCGACAAAACCCAGTTGAAGGTTGTCGATGCGCTTGCTTGCGCTTCGACACAACTCTATGAGGCTGCTCTCACGCACCACCCCACCTAGGCTCTCCCAGAGTTGGGTAGTGCATAGAACCAATTCAGCTATTGTCGAAGCATTCATCATCAAGCGTTGGCATCATCAAGTTTGTTCGAGGGGAACCTCCGTGGGTGCATCGCCCGCCTCACCTTGTCTTCGAAATGTTTTTGGTATGTACAGCGATTCGCCAGTAGTCAGTTCTGGTGTCGATCGCTGTGGTAATGTGGGTTGCGCGTGCTCTACAGACTGCCACACAGATGGGTCTTTTTGATGATCTGATGAGTTGCATCGAGCGGTAATAATAAGAAAGTGATGTTGCCTCTTTGAAGCGAACAAAACTGTGCTTGATTGCAGAGGGAGATCCCTCCGTGCATCCTTTAATCGTCGAAGAACAAATGACCTAAATTGCGTTCGAAATGGATCGTTGAGCTTGTGCGGCGAATCTGTTGTCGTTGTGCTTGATGTACCTGATGACCCTCACCCCATCCCCTATGATCATTCTACACAAATAGTCGCCTCAAGTTGGCGGGGCAGAATCTATATTTCTTTGTGTGCACGGCAAGCTATTTCGGGAGGGGGGAGTTTCCGCGGCCGTTGGACAGACGCAATACGCCGTAAAGTCGGAATAGCCAATAAATAGACTAGACCGTACAGCCGTTTCCTCGAAACGTAACTTCGGTATGTTCCGTTGCGCCGCCAAAAGCGTACAAAGAAAAAAAAAACAGCCGTTTCCGATAGATACGTACTTCGGTGTGCGCGCCTAGTGTACACCCTGTTTCACCCGTACACACGTTTGCCCACCTAGGTGGACAGCTGCGTGTGTCGTGCATGAGGCAGTTGGATCGTGCTGCTTGTTTCCCTAGCAGGTGGGGTATCAAATTTGGTCTCGTTGACTCCCATTTCGACGGCGATGTCCGCTTCGAAAGGCGAAGGAGCCGGGTTGCTGCTTTGTGAAGGTGACATGACGCCGAACGAGTCGTTGTGGAGGACACCGTCGATAGAAGTGTAGCTTCCTTCAATCACTCATGCGCGGTGAAAAGCAAAGACGTTAGGAGCAAGATTGAGGTGTGGTACCACAAGGCCATGTCTGGCGTACTGCTACTCACCGCTTCCTAGCGAGGAGGTCGTTGTCATCATCATCGTCCGAGCCGTTCGATGAACGCCGCCCCGCTTTTGCCGGCAGTGACGGCGTCGCCCCGACCGCCGCTTGTGTCGTATCGGCGGTCTTGGCTTCGCCGCATGAGGATGATGATGGCGACCGTACGATGCTGCTCTCGGGCATGGGGGTCGAAGCGCGTCGTGGAGTCGCCATCATCATCCTCATGCGGTGAAGTCAAGACAGCGGATAATACCACGGCGGCGGTCGGGCCACGCCGCCGGTCGGGGCGACGCCGCCAATGCCAATGCCGGCAAAAGTGGGGTGGTGTTCATCGAACGACTAGGACGACGATGGTGACGACGACCTCCTGGCTAGAAACCGCGGTGAGGATAACAGTACGCCAGACAATCGTCCTTGTTTACTGCACCTCAATGGTTGCTCCTTCGAGTTCGTTCTCACACGTTGATTTTGCTCTGTAGTCTGTGATGTCGATCACACGCACAAAACCATCGCTTCAGTTTTGCTCTTGAATTCTACACGGATCACCCGTCAGCACGGGGTGGCCTGGGGAGAAAGAAAGGGCTTTTGCTGCTATCGTAGAACAACTCTTGACCCCAGATTCGACTATGTCGTGCTGGCAATCCGCGCGACTACCCCACGAAGTGCGTTCTTGGACGCTTGCTTGTTTCGAACTTGAATATGTATACACAACACTCGGCACGTGTCCTTCCTTCACCTCGAGGCACTTCTGGAGGAAAAGAGAGAGAGTCAAGAGCAGCAAGCCTCGCTTCGGTATAGATGTTTGGGTCTCGACGCGATTGCCACAGACTGGCCTCATTCGATTTGCAGCACGGGTGTGCAGCTTGCTACACAAACAACGGTGCCTAGTCTAGAGTACACGAGTTCCGCAAATCTTGCATGGTGCCACAAGTTTGAGATGTGTTGCAGGTCAAGTCTGTACAAGGAGCCCAGCGCCACACCATGACATCAACGCAGGTAATATCTGTCCAAGAACCAAATCGCACTGGTGGCCGGTAGCACGTTGTGATGTAGAATGATCGGTCCTTCGTCCGAGCACACTAGCACTAGTTTCAGCTGTCCGGATCAATATTCGGGTATCGCCAGCAGGGAACAACGCAAAGCCAGCGAGTAACCTACATCAGTCACCATGCCTCTGACCATCTCGAACGTACAAGACAGCTTGAACACCCGAACCCCCGTTCCTCCATTCTCTTCCACACAGGAGTATGAGAAGGATGCAGCGTCAACTACGCAATGGATAAAGCAGTGTCGCAAGATGTTTGGTTTACACGGGGACCGACAACGAGCTGTCGCTTCGTGCTGGAAGCCATTCATGACGGCAGCACTCATCCAGCAACCTCAAGGATCCCCTGCCAGAACAAAAAAAAAAAACGAGGTTCTTCATCACTTGGGTGACGTGTTCCCGAGAACAATGCGAGTACGCCAACAAGTCGAACATGACATCATGCAACAGAGTCAGTCCACGGGCTGCAACCGCTGAAACGAAACGCCCACCTACAGCTTACAAAATGTCATGACACGGAGCGGATACCCGAGTAGAGCCGACATGCCGACGCCCCTACGCGTCGCCACAGAGCCAATGCCCCCAAAGGAAAGTGCACAGTTTCTGGGCGGGGGTACCGCGGCAACTCCAACGGCTAGGCGACGACGCTTTGGGTTTGTAGTGCACGACAGCGTAATCCCATCATCACGGAGAGGTCGTAGTCTGTCCTACCACAGGCCCTTGACGATCACCCTGGACAACGTATAACACGTTTCTCCTGCGGTACAAGTAGTCTACCTGTCCGCGGCCAGGCTTGACATGCACTGCCCGAACCCCGAACTCGGCTTCCGTCAAGGGAAAGTTCCAAATTCATCTTGTTTTCCCACGCCGAAGCGTGCCATACAGGAGAACTACACTTCTACGGGGAGGCTATCGTCTCTGGCCCAGGCGCTGAATCCACCTTCCATGTTGACAATCCCGGAATAGCCCGCATTCTCCAGCCATCCTGCCGCCTGTGTGTAGAGGCCGGGCAGGAAAGTCAGCGAGCGCAGCAGGGCAAGACCATCGACGATATTGGCTGATGGACTCTCTCTCTCTCTGCCCCTGTCAGCAAACGGCCATCACCGTCACCATCTCTGTCATAATCCCGCCGCAACCTTGAAAAATAAAACAAAGCGGACAAGGCTCCCTCCCGCTGTGTCCCTACTGCTACTGCCGCTGCTGCTGCTGCGGCTGATGCATTGTTCGGAGTATCAAGTCGTACCTGGGCGGATCTGCTCCCCATCTGGCACCCGATCACAAGCTTCGCCGCCTTGTCTGGGAACTTCTCAGCAATCTGCCTCGGTATTCATTGGTGTAGATTGTGGGGGAGAAGAAAGCGAACACGCTCACCCGTTGAAACACGTTGTCCACCCCAATATAGAACGCCTGACTCACTCAGGCGATGAAGCAAAGGGCAAAATCGAACAACAATCGGCACTGGCGGGACGGTGCTGCTTTGTTGTCGGTGCAAAGTGGAGACTACCCTCTTCCGACCCTGGCCCGCCTTCAAACGTCAGTGCTCCGAACCCGTTAGTCCGCTCATGTGAAGCAAAGCACAATCGCCTTTCTAGCCACCGTGGGAATTCCATGTAGCCCTCCCCCAAAGAGCAATCACCAATCCTCACTTGCATATACTTGATTCACAGATTGCCATCCATGCCACACCACATGAGGGTTTGATCGTCACAGGTTCCCTAGGAAGGAAGTAAAAAGGTCGGAGTGTTGCAATACTGGCAGCTCATTAGATTGCGTTTGACACTGCTGTCTGCCGTCGAAACGATTGTTGTGACAAAAGGGTACCTCAAGCTAATACGACCGTGATGATCGTGTGGGTGCAAGCACTAAATTCACGAGAAGCTTGGAAGCAGGTCGGTTGCAACTGGGAAACAAATTTCGCCCCGTCAAGACATCAGAACTCACGAGCAGTGGCCTTTCCGTCTCTGTCTCGGCCTTTGACTCTGTGTCTGTGACTATCTCTCGCTCTCACTCTCAGTTTGTGTTTCTGTTTTCTCTTTGTCTCTTTGACTCGCTTGGAAAAACATCCCTGCACAGTTGTGCAGCAGCTTTATGAATAAGTATCAGCTAGGCAACGGAATCTCACAACAGACGCGTGCTCCCTTTCAACTCCAAGACAACTCTCGCGAGCATGAAGCATCGCATGCATTGTCTGGAGGACTAATCTCACCTGGTCGACGAAGTCCGGGTTTACGGTCATCCCCTGCGCCGTCGAAAAGAAGGCCGGGACATTGACGGCCCCAGCCGGGTGTCCGTGCTCGAACTCGTAGTCCGCCCGAACTGTCGGCGATACATGCATTTCACAAGATCGAAGGAAGAAGCAAGAGAGTGAGATGTTGCAGGCGCAAGGTTGCAAGCATTGTAGAGAAGGAGAGCACGGAGCCTGTTCAGAACATACACCCCGGCCACTTAAGCTGTGCGAACGGACAGGACGCACTTGAGATGGGATGTGACAAGGGCGGGACGGATGATGGAGCGCATACATACGCGAGGATCATTCCCACTCGAAACAAGGCACCCATGGTGTCTACAATACCCTACATCGCTATGGTTTCATTTTCTGCAAAACGTGAAGCGCGCCCTCTTCAATGAGGAGATGTATCGTAGACCTCAACTGAGCCTCCTAACTAACATAAAATCACCAGTCGTTCCCTCGGACACATGCTGTGACCATCTCACCGTCGACGTAGGTCCATCCTTCCTGTTGCACCAAGTTGTTGGCAAACTGCGGCCCGACTCCGTCGAACATGCGAACGTTAGCAGCAGTTCCTCTGGAGCGACCTAACAACAACCATTGATATGAGCGGGATGTTTGGAAGCTGGCAGCGAACAATGTTACATGAAGAACTATCTACGGAGAAGGTAACATCGCAAGATAGCCGACATCCAACTACCAAGCGCCACTACTGTAGCTACTTTTTATCTCTACTACACCTTGACGTCGGAAAATTCACCTTAACGTGTCCGAACAATTCACAACCTTGCTATGAGCCGCGGAGCGCGAGCGCGAGCGTTCTTTTCCGTCCCTCCCAAGAGGGAAAAAGAGGCTCTAAATATCGGCCTTTTCCAACGCGATGCAGGGGCCCAATTTTGATTTACGGGGGGCTTAAATAACCCTCCTTTTAGACCAGAACGAGTTCTATAGGGCACCGATTTACGATCTGTTGCCTTCTGAGGAAGAAAAAAAGTGCACTCTTCGTCACACCGGTTTGGTCGTGCTTCGGCGAAATATGGCCGTACTACACAAGCGTTTATGCCCAAAATCCAACGGAGATAGCTGTACCCTGTACCTGGGATCAGCAAGAAAAACGGGATTCCAAAAGCGGAATCTCAAGCGCAAGCGATTCAGCCCAGCAAAAGAAACAGGGGTAGCATACCGCTGACTAGTCTCGCACATCCACAGAATCACACTCACCCGCCCTGGTCCAATCCCTCCCATGGGTGAAAGCAAAGCAGTATCGTCGAAACCTTTAGTCTACACACCGAAAGATGGGTAGGCTGGCGCCAGCCTATAGGACGAGCACACAGTGTCGACTCTTGCAGCTGGTTCGTGCTGGCATCACGGAGTGGTGCAGGGCCGGGTTAGTACCCTTCGTGGTTGTGTTTAAACGTGGGTGGCATTACTGTGCAATGTGCGGTATTGTGCGTAGTGATACTGCTGGAGTGACTGAAGCACAAAGGACATGCGAAGACCTGCATGCGCACCGATCGACTCCTCTGCATAGGTAGCTAGCACAGCGGCTAATTTACTGCTGGTACAAAAGGCAACTTCTCCCTTCTTCCCCTCGCTCCTCGACAAGCTTTTGCTTAGACATGGGTTGTAGTGAAGGGGGGGGTCTTTCTGGCGAGCAGGGCTAGATTCACCCTCAAGGGATGACCGAAACCTTCTTGCTGCTGCGCATATCCGCCGCGAGGCATGCGCGTGGTGGTGTAGTTGGGTCGGCACTGATGGGGTCAGGCGAAAAAATGTAGATGCGCGGGCCTCT